TTCCTGGACTTGGTTAACTATTTCCTTTCCCATACTAGGGAAGTTTTCAACTATAATCTCTTCAAATATTTTCTCAGTCCCTTTCTTTTTCTCTTCTTCTTCTGGGACCCCTGTAATTTGAATGTTGGTGCGTTTAATGTTGTCCCAGAGGTCTCTGAGACTGTCCTCAATTCTTTTCATTCTTTTTTCTTTATTCTGCTCTGCAGTAGTTATTTCCACTATTTTATCTTCCAGGTCAGTTCTCCATTCTTCTGCCTCAGTTATTCTGCTATTGATCCCTTCTAGAGAATTTTTAAGTTCATTAATTGTGTTGTTCATCATTGTTTGTTTGCTCTTTAGTTCTTCTAGGTCCTTGTTGAACATTTCTTATATTTTCGCCATTTTATTTCCAAGATTTTGGATCATCTTTACTATCATTACTCTGAATTTTTTGTCAGGTAGACTGCCTATTTCCTGTTCATTTGTTTTGTCTGGTGGGTTTTTACCTTGCTCCTTCATCTGCTGTGTGTTTCTCTGTCTTCTTGTTTTGCTTAACTTACTGTGTTTGGGGTCTCCTTTTCGCAGGCTGCACGTTTGTTGTTCCCGTTGTTTTTGGTGTCTGCCCCCAGTGGCTAAGCTTGGTTCAGTGGGTTGTGTAGGCTTCCTGGTGGAGGGGACTGGTGCCTGTGTTCTGGAGGATGAGGCTGGATCTTGTCTTTCTGGTGGGCAGGACGCATCCAGTGGTGTGTTTTGTGCTGTCTGTGACCTTATTATTATTTTAGGCAGCCTCTCTGCTAGTGAGTCAGGCTGTGTTCTTGTCTTGCTAGTTGTTTGGCATGGGGTGTCCAGCACTGTAGCTTGCTGGTTGTTGAGTGGAGCTGGGTCTTAGTGTTGAGATGGAAATCTCTGGGAGAGCTTTAGCCATTTGATATTATGTGGAGCTGGGAGAACTCTGGTGGACCAATGTCCTGAACTTGGCTCTGCCACCTCAGAGCCACAGGCCTGACACCCGACCCAAGCATCAAGACCCTGTCAGCCACACAGCTCAGAAGAAACGGGAGAAAAAGAGAAAGAAAGAAAGAAAAAAATAAAATTAAATAAAGTTATTAAAATAAACAATAATTATCAAAAATAAAAAAAGAAAGAGGAGAGCAACCAAAGTGAAGAAAAAAATCCAGCAATGATAACAAGTGTTAAAAAACCTTACTAAAAAAGAACAACTCCCCCAAAACAAACGGACAGAGAGAACCCTAGTACAAATGGTTAAAGCAAAGCTATACAGACAAAATCAGACAAAGAAGCATACACATACACACTCACAAAAAGATAAAAAGGAAAAAAAATATATCGTTGCTCCCAAAGTCCACCGCCTCAATTTTGGGATGATTCGTCTATTCAGGTATTCCACTGTTGCAGGGTACATCAAGTTGATTGCGGAGATTTAATCCGCTGCTCCTGAGGCTGCTGGGAGAGATTTCCCTTTCTCTTCTTTGTTCGCACAGCTCCTGGGGTTCAGCTTTGGATTTGGCCCTGCCTCTGCGTATAGGTCGCCTGAGGGCGTCTGTTCTTTGCTCGGACAGGACGGGGTTAAAGGAGCGGCTGATTCGGGGGCTCCGCCTCACTCAGGCTGGGGGGGAGGGAGGGGCATGGAGTGCGGGGCGGGCCTGCGGCAGCAGAGGCCAGCGTGACGTTGCTCCAGCCTGAGGCGCGCCGTGCGTTCTGCCGGGGAAGTTGTCCCTGGGTCCCGGGACCCTGGCAGTGGCGGGCTGCACAGGCTCCCGGGAGAGGAGGTGTGGAGAGTGACCTGTGCTCACACACAGGCTTCTTGGTGGCGGCAGTAGCAGCCTTAGAGTTTCATGCCTGTCTCTGGGGTCCGCGCTGGTAGCCGCGGCTCGCGCCCTTCTCTGGAGCTCCTTTAAGCAGCGCTCTTAATCCCCTCTACTCGCGCACCAGGAAACAAAGAGGGAAGAAAAAGTCTCCTGCCTCTTTGGCAGCTCCAGACTTTTTCCTGGACTCCCTCCCGGCTAGCTGTGGAGCACTAGCCCCCTTTAAGCTGTGTTCTCGCCGCCAGTCCTCTCCCTGGGATCCGACCTCCGAAGCCCGAGCCTCAGCTCGAAGCCCTGCCCGCCCCGGCGGGTGAGCAGACAAGCCTCTCGGGCTGGTGAGTGCTGGTCGGCCCTGATCCTCTGTGCGGGAATCTCTCCGCTTTGCCCTCTGCACCCCTGTTGCTGTGCCCTCCTCAGCGGCTACGAAGCTTCCCCTCTACCACCCCCCGTCTCCGCCAGTGAAGGGGCTTCCTAGTGTGTGGAGACCTTTCCTCCTTCACAGCTCTCTCCCACTGGTGCAGGTCCCGTTCCTATTCTTTTGTCTCTGTTTTTCCTTTTTCCTTTTGCCCTACCCAGGTACGTGGGGGAGTTTCTTGCCTTTTGGGAGGTCTGAGGTCTTCTGCCAGCGTTCAGTAGGTGTTCTGTAGGAGTTATTCCTCATGTAGATGTGTTTCGGATGTATTTGTGGGGAGGAAGGTGATTTCCACGTCTCACTCCTCTGCCATCTTCAAGGTCTCCCAACCAATCATCTTTTAACACAAGATCAGGGAAAGCTCCAGCTTGTCATTGGTCATATGGACATATAAAATAAGTTATATAACACTACTTTTTAAAATATAATTTTTGGCAGATGATTGAGAAGGTATATGAATAGAAGTTATTACTTTTCTTTATCTTTCTCTTTTTTCCAGTTTCCATCTTACCTCGTGTATAGTGAGTAACCAGGTTTATTTGAAGAATGTGACAAAGAAGAATCTAAGAAAATAATTTTATGATTTTTCTGGACTATTCAGTTTCTTATAGATTTTCACGTTTTTTAAAAAATTATAAAATATTTCAAGCATTGTAAATTTTCATTTAACCCAAGACTTTGTCAGTTTTTCTCCTTCATATCCTGTTAGGAAACCCCATCAGGACGAATTGTGAAAGATTTTGAAATGGGTGCCATTACTGGGTGTCCTTTCAATGGACTTTCTGACGTTGCCAGGCTCTCCCTTCAGGTTATCTGATTCTCTTGGGGCCTGTGCTTTGAACTGTCCTTGATTTAGCTATTTTGTAACTCAGAACATTATAGAAAACCGACTGATAATAAAATGCACATAATTCTTGTTTGTAGACATGTAAATAAATTTTGTCATAGAAACACAACTGATTTCCTCTCTGTAGTAAAGATGATTCTAGCATTATAATTTAGTGCCTATAGGATCTATTTTTTTGCATCTATTAGCAAATTTACTTCAGGATTCCTGATTGCCTTACATATGTCTGTTCTGATTCTTTTTTGAACAGGTTGCAATATCTTATTGGTTCCCTTGAGGCAGGAGATAGTTGGGCCTCAGGCTGAGCTGTTGCAGTTTGTCCCCTGTGGACAGGTACTCCAAAATAGCAGGAGCAGAGAGAAACTGCACCCTGCCCAGATAAAAGATAGAGACCACGTGTTTCTCATTCTCAAGGTCAAGGAGATCTTCCTTGCTATACATGCACAGAGAGGCTCCTTGGAGGTCAAAAAGGGAGTGATGTCAACCTATTCATAGGCCTCTTCGCTAGAATCCTTCTTGGCTAAGAGATGCATGCACACACACAGGGGGACCCTGAGATAAACCAAATATGAACTCAGAACCAGGCAAAGCAAGATGATTGGTCAAAGGAAACCTGGAAGAAATGCCCCATATAAGTGATTCAAACTACCATGAGGGTGCAACTCTCTCTCTGAGCCCACCCGTTTGTCTATCCACATGTACTCTTTTTCCTCCTAATAAACACTTTACTTATTTTACTACTTTCCGTCTCTTTGTAGGAATTTATTTCGACAAAACTGACAGGCGGGGGCCTTGTCACTGGTCACTGGTCTAGTGGCTAGGATTTAGCTCTCTCACTGCCATGGCCTGACTTGAATCTCTGGCCAGGGATCTGAAATCCTGCTTCATGCCACTTTAGGCAGAGGCCATCCGAGATTACCCTCATTAATTAATAAGTTAAATAAAATCTTTAACATATGTTCACTTAGTATTTTACCATTTTGAAAATCATCCTTTAACAACCTTCTTGTTATCAATAGTGATTATGTACTTAGTTCTCTTGTCACTTTAAGTAAATTTTTAATGTAAGCAACACTTTACCTTTGAACAAGTTCAGTCTTTTCCACTTATAAAATAGTCAACATTTATAAAGTCAATATTGCCTATTTACCTATTAATAAGATAAATGCTTATTAATTTTAAGAAGCTTTATTTAATGTCCTCTCATCTTCTCTCCCTCCCTGCCCCGCCAAAACATTCTAATTGTCTGTTGCTTATCCAATCTAGGAGTCATTTCCCTTTTTGACCTTGTCTACAAGGTCACTCAGCTAGCAAATTAAGGAAATGTTGTAAAACAGTTTATCTGTATAGCTGGAGTTAAATATTATGTTTATTCTTTTCTTATAGTTTCTGTATAAATTAGAAAAATTCAAACTGGGTGAGACTACAATTAGTGCTGGCCCTGCCTTAATTAATATTTTATCAATGACTGTTATGCCCATTGCCGGGATGATTTAAATTTATTCTTATTGAACATATGCTGTTTTTTAGGCACTTTTATTGTACCATCTAATTTATGAAATATTATGTTTATCTTGTGTTCAAGGGCCAAGTTAAGATCTGTAACTGAAAATTACAGGGAAAATAATTTCACTGAATATAAAAGAGCAACTTTTTAGTAGTTAGAGCTCTCTGAAAACAGAACAATATATTTCATGAGGCAGAAGATAGCAGAGTTGCTAAGAACATAAAGTTTGCTGTCAGGCAGACCTGTGTTTGTGTGTTCCAGGTCCATCATACACTAATTTCATGACCTTAGGAAAGCTTCTTTTTAGTTCCCTAAACTGTAAAATTAAAAAATAATAGTACCTACTTCATAGTGGGTCTTTTTTTCCCCTTTCTTTCCAAGCAGTTAACAATGTCCTCACACTTTTCCTCCTATAGAGTATGCCTTTACCAAGTCTCTGTCCACTCTGTTGAAGTGGATATTCTGGTAGAACGGAAGGCAATTTGGTACTAGGATTGAGAGTCAACTTACTAAGGTTTTTTATTAATACTTCAGAGATAGGTCGAGAGGCAGCTGGAACTTCCTGGGAATTTTCATCGATGAACATTGGAGGCGACTCCAGGGTCCAGTTTGGGTTAAGCTTTGATGAGTCCACTGGGAGTCTAGTCACAGCTTGAGGCTCCTCCTAGATCTTTGGGTTCCAAAGATCTTTGAGTAGGAGAAATCTTTACAGACTTCTAATAGCCTCCTTCACATCCTCAGGAATCTAGGAGTTCTCAGTTTATTTAAGATTCTAGTTAATTTTAGTTATTTATGCTCAATGATAATCTCTGTGCTTTATATCTGGTTTACTTTGAATTTTTAATCTAATCTTAGTCTTGTACAGTAAAATACAAATGGTAACTCTTGTTTATTTGGGACTGATTATTCAAGTCATTATTTCCCTTTCTTTTTAATTTTGCTCAATTTCAAAAATTATCTCCCTCACAGAAATCAAATAGGTCACTAAAAAGAGATAAACTTAGACCACACAGTTTTATTTTATATTACATGATGGAAAGTATTAGAGTATTTTAAACATAATTTTCAATTAACTATGTGTTTAGTCAGTAATTCATTACTTTGTCCTGTGTTAGCATAGTAGTGTTTAGGATACGCTTATATTGTTGAAAGAAATAGTAAAGTTTAATTAAGTAACAAGTTATTTTGAAAGAACTGAGTTGTTGAATTGAATTCAGCCTTTTCTTCTTCTAAATTGTTTTCTAAGTTTGGTGGAAGAGTAGATTATTGAGATTCTGAAATGCTTATATTGGTGTTTCTATTAAAAAACCCTAGTTTTCACCACTAATTATTAATTTACAAGTTAAAATTAACCCTAAGGATAAAAGAATAAACTCAACGTTGATTGCTAAGACTTTTTTTTTTAGGGTTCTGATATTAATCTTCTCTCTGGTCTTGGACAACTCACTGAATATCTGTGCAAAAAGATGCTTTTTGAGGGTATTTTCCCATCCTTTTTTTCCTGGAAATTGCTCTTGACATTCATGGGGTGGATCTCTGACAGTCAGGTTTCCTCTACAAGGACCTGACCAACTGGTATAGCTGATTGCAAGATAGACAAGCTCTCAGTTGTAAACAACACAAAATGATTCTGGCATATTTAAAAAGAAGAAATAATTATTTCAAGAGTTTAAGAATGCTCACAGAATCCCTGAGAAGACCTGAAGAGCTGGGCTTGGGAAAAAATTAGCAACAACTAAAGGAGACCATAACATAGGACAAAGTCATGCTGCAGAAAGAACCTGGGTAGAATGTGACTGCTGTCATTGCCCTGTAGTCATCAGTATATCACCAGATACTGGAAGCTGCTACTGTCACTACTGCCACAGAGAACTAGATTCTAAAGTTATTGGTGCCACAGTTATTGAAAAAAAAAATCCAAATTGTTTGTATCACTTGCTCCAGATTCAAAGTTCCAGACAAGAGGATCTGCCTTTGACTGAGTGAGTTCAATTCAAGGGAAAGTTGTAGAAAACTCCATTTCTGCCCCAAGTTCAAGTCACATTATCCAACTCAGTTTTACTGTGGTTATTTATCAGTTGGCATAGGAATCAGAAGGGAGAACGATGTGATGAATTGGTACCATAAAGTCCAAAATAATTGAGGCAGTCAGTCGTTCTGGGCTGGTCTCTTGAATGATAGAGATGTAAACTAGGGGGCTGTGGAATAAATATCTTCTACCTATCATGTAGCTGGGAAGCATAGAAAATACATCTGTAGAAGCAGAGAACGAAGTAATTTATTGAGAGATGTAGAGTCAAGACAGAGAGAGAGAGTTCTGCTGGCTTCAGTTTTTCAGCTGCATTATACTAGCCTTGGTTTCTATGAAATAGCATTCAATCTTATACTGTCTTTTATTTTTGCTTAGGCTAGCTCATTGCTTTTATAATTTACCAAGGGTCCTAACCAATATACTCTCTGAGTTTCATTATTCTTATCCATAAATGTCAATTTTAATACTTGTCCTATGTATCTCACTGGGAGAATAGCATGAGATAATAGAGACGGAAAGAATCATAAACTCTTAAGAGTCCCTTTGATACAATCCCCAATAAGTGGTTATCCAGTCTTTTTCCTTGACAGGAAATCACTATTTCTGGAGGTACTCTTTTCAGAGTTCTCTGGTTGCTAGAAAATGGGTATACATATAAAATCAAAATTTTCTTCCCTGTAACTCCATCTCATTTATCCTAATTCTATCCTCTTGGGTCTTAAAGAATAAACACAGTTTCTCTTGTTCAGGACAGCCCTTGAAGTTTATGAAGATAGCTATCAAATTCTCACCTAAGCCTTTTCTTCTAAAGGCTGAATATTCTCATGTTCTTTAAGAATATGTCATGATTTCCCTGCATCAGAGTGCCTACAAGGACCAAGTAAGTTTGGATATATGAGTTAAAGAGAGAAAAAATTTTAATTAAGGTCTGCATCATTGAAAAAAAAAAAAAACTTTGTTAATAAGGCAATTAGTCTGTGTATTCACATTTTCACAGTGATTTCAAATTCCCAACAGATACTTTAATGATTAAGGAAATAAATAGGAATTCCAGGAATCATAAGTTAATATGTATTTTTTAATGTACTTATGTGTTTTAGATAATGATGGGTGACCATAATAAGGAGTGTATCATTTTTTGATAATAGGGTTATTCTAAAAGTTTTAGAGGTTTTCTGTAAAAATAAAGAGAACAAATGCATATTACAAGAGTATATATTTGAATAACATATAAAAATGATCTCTACCTGTAATAGAAAAAATTGAGACGAGAAAATTAACACCAATAATAAACACCAAATGAAGCTGACTAAAAATTGAAATTTATTTAAAAGTTATCATTCTTAAAATAAAAAAATTAAAATACAGAAAACATAAATTGCCCTGATAATCTTGATCTTTGTTTTGTAACAAATATTCTAGATGCAGAAAATTTTATTTTGCATTGACACTTGTTGAATTGTTAAGAGTGTCTAAAAGCATCTTGAAGTTGAGTATTATTGCACATATAACGTCATATTAGCACCCTTATTTATTTTTATTTTGTCTGCTTGCCTTGCTTTTGGAAATTGATATTGCTTTTGATAATTGAGATATTAGATCAGTTTCGAATTTCATGCTGGAACATTTCATAACAATTCATATTTTTGCATTTCTTCTATTAAAGTATTTACAAAGATGACTTCTGGTTCTGGTGAAACTGAAATAGCCTCATTCCACCCAGGTCCTCCTTCTTAGAATGAAAAAGCCTGGGCATAACTCAACAAACAAGCATAGGAAGTCTCTGAAGTCTCAAAAGAAGGTGGACAATTTAGAAACCTTGGGACTTGAGGACTGAGATGGCAGTGGGTTCCCTGAGTTTCCTTGCTGCCTCCCTTAGATCCTAGACAAGGCCCTGCAGAAGCTTCCAACCTGGAAGCAGCAACAGACATATACCCAAAAAGCTCCAAGAAAAGCCTGTTTAGCCAAAATTTTCGGTAATACCCGCCCTACTCCAGTCAAACAACAATGGAAAAACCACACCCCTCTCTTTCTGGAGGTTTCATGGAGGCCAAGCAGAAAGCTGATTTTCGGGGCTTCCCTGGTGGCGCAGTGGTTGGGGGTCCGCCTGGCGATGCAGGGGACGCGGGTTCGTGCCCCGGTCCGGGAGGGTCCTACATGCCGCGGAGCGGCTGGGCCCGTGAGCCATGGCCGCTGAGCCTGCGCGTCCGGAGCCTGTGCTCCGCAACGGGAGAGGCCACGGCGGTGGGAGGCCCGCATAACGCAAAAA